GATCTACACTATAAATCGTCACTTACTACGTAGTGAGTGGATAATAATATTAAAGAGGAAGAAGAAAATGAAAAAAAAATAGTTTAAGTAAACTTTGCTAAAGTGCTAATGAAATTACGGAAAATGAAGTGATAGTTGTGACAGTCGTTATTGGAGCACTGGGAACGGCCAGGAAGAAGAAGAAGAAATGTTGTACAAAGTAAGCAGAACAATTAAAAAGTGTCTGAAAACAAAGCCAGAAAGGACATCATTTTTCTCACCACGTAAAAAGGTATGTGCAAAGTGTTAAGAACAAAATCACGACGTCCCAAAATCTATCATTCATAAATAGATAAATAAATAATGTTGATTCGAAGTCATTTTCGTTCCTTTAAATCAAGAAGGGTAATATTTTTTTTAACCCAAAGCTAAATAGGCGAAAAAAAAAACAAAAAACAAAAAAAAACACGACCATCCACACATGTAAAAAGAGTAAAGTGAATTTTTGTGTGTGTGACAACGTTTACAAATGATTGTTGTAGTCATAGTAGCAGTTGTTCCCGGCTTCTTAACTCAACAAAAGTAAAACCATTGCATTTTATGTATTTGTAAGACATTTTTTCGTCGTAGTGGTGTTTCATTTTTATAAACACCGCGTTGAAACTTTTTAAACAAACCTGTTTCACAAATTATCGTAATAAAACAAAAAAAAGTAAGTTGTATAGTATAGACAACTTAGCTTTGTCGTAAGAAAAGGTAAAAATCGCTAAGAAATCATAGTGTGCACTGAGCGATCAGTCCTTTTAAAATGCACATAGGTTTTTTTAAATCTGTGTTAATATCTTGTCTTTTTTTTTTTTTTTATTGTACTCCGGTAGGGTGTGTTAACGCGTGTGCTTCCTATTCGGCCCTGGGCTAATTTTTCTTTTTTCGTTTTTTTTTTTTTTAAATCTTGTCTCATCGCTATGAAGCAGTTACCTGTGTGAAGTGTTCATATTCCCTGTCGGCCAAGGAATGACGCACCTGGCTAGCTGATAGGGATGCACACACACGCATACAGATACACGCAGACACTCACGGCTTACTTGAAATTGTTTATAAAAACCAGTCTCTCGATGAGAAAATTAGAGAATAATATTACGTTTATTCCTGAACGTCACGGATTGGCGGTAGCTCACACGACAGAAGCGACATATAGGCAAGGAGACAGCTAAACCCACTCAAAACGCCTCGATTCGTATCCACAAATACCTTCCCTTGCCCGGTCTCCACAAAAAAAGAAAATACTTTCAAAGAACCCCGTCTGTCAGCAGTCAGTCTAGTGATTATGAAATTGACATCGTCCGCAGATTATACAAACAGGTATTTATTTCAAAGTAAATAAAATAATCTTTTCGATGGGCGACGTGGTTTAGTTAATTGCATATTTCACACCAGTGCAAGGAGTCGATAACGGGAGCCATGTAATTAAAAAAAAAATTCGAATGCTGATTTTCAAGACAAGTAATCTTCATTTGGAAGTCTGGCGCAAGACAATCTTCCTAACTGCATTTTATGACTACTTAGTGGCTGAGATAATTACATATTTCCTATTGGTTCTAGCAGTTAATAATGAAGGTCAAGTAAAAATCAAGAATTTCGAATGCTAGTTTTTAACAGAGGAGATCTTCACTGGCGCAACACAATCTTCTTACTTTCATTTTATGGCTGCTTCGTGGCATATTTACTACAGGTGTCAAGAAACAATAATACAATGGGATCAAGTATAAAAAATTGCAATTTCGAATGTTGATCTTCAATATAAAAGATTTTGCAAGTTTGGCGCAAGACAATCTTCCTATTCACAGTATATAACTGCTTCGTGGTTTACATTGTTGCATATTACACACCGGTGCCAAGAGTCGATAATGGAGAGACAAGGTAAAAAAAGAAGAGAAAAAAACAGAAATTTGAATGCTGAGGTTTTCACATGGAGAGCTGGCGCAAGACAATCTTCCTAAATGCATTGTATGGCTGCTTCGGGGTACTAACAGTCAATGACGGAGGTCTGTTAAAAAAAAAAACACAAAAAATTCGAATGCTGATTTTCAAGACACGAGATCTTCATTTGGAAGAATGGCGCCGCACAATCTTCCTAAGTGCATTTTATGGCTCCTTCGTGTCTAAGAAAGCTATATTTGCGGTGTTAGAAATCGATAATGGAGTCAAGTAAAATATAATAATGCTGGTTTTTAAGGCACGATATATTTATTTGTAAACCTGGCGCATCACACTCTTTCTACTCTCATTTTATGACAGCTTTGTAGTATAATTATTTGCATATTTGCCACTGGTGTTGAGAATCAATAATGGGGATCAGGTATAAGAAGCCACAATTTCAAATGCTGATTTTCAATACAGGTGATCTTCATTTGAAGACTGGCGGAACATAATTTTCCTACCGGCATTAGAGAGCTTCTTTGTGACTTACATAGTTGCGTATTAGCCACCGCTCGTAGGAGTCGATAATGGGAACAAAGTAAAAAAAATAAAAATCGAATACTGATTTTCAAGATAAGACATTTTCATTTGTAAGATTGGCGCAGCACAATCTTCCTAACAGTATTTTATAGCTGCCTTGTGGCTGATGTAGTTGTAAATCTTATCTCGGTGCTAGAAGTCAATCTTGGGGTTGGTAAAAAAAAATAGGAATGCTAATTTTCAATACAAGAGATCTTCACTTAGATGTTAACGCAACACAAATTTCCTAACTAAATTATATGGCTACTTCGTGGCAATGATACTTACATATTTCCTATTGGTGCTAAGATTCGATAATGAGGCCAGGATAAAAAGTAAGATTTTTAATAATGATATTCAAGATAGACAGCATATCCTCACTTAGTTAACTTGAGCAACATAAACTTCCTATTCATTTCTGGGTTTGTCCACAATCACTAGAAAATGTCCCTTTTACTTGTGACAAGTTTATTTATTAGCACGCACGCACACACACACACACACACACACACACACACACACACACACACACATATATATATATATATATATATATTAATGCTTGAAATCAAATAAAACGATTCATCTCACAAATTATCTGTCTCGAAAATTCGCAGTATTCACCGTGTTAAAAAAATGTTACCTATAATCAAAAAACAGGCTTTCAGTTCTCGCGTAAGGTCTCGGCAGTAACGTTATCACAAACGAGAACAAATACTTTTTTTCTTTCTACAGTCTAAATCCTGCAAAATTCTTTTAAAAATCCAGCTAAATCTTGCAAAACGAACACATTTTTCGGCAGATAGGGTAGCTCCAGTTTGCAATGGTTTAAGCTGAAGGCCACGAACTCTGGCTCAGGGTAAAATCCTGAGGTATTCTGCGTTAAAGCATTTGTCAAGGTTCCCATTATAGATTATATTTCGGTCTTTAATTGCTTTTTTTTAAATCACCCATGTAGAACATGTAGGAAGATTGCGTTGCGCCAGTTTTTCAAGTGAACAGTTCTTGTGTTGAAAATCTGCATTAAAAATTTTGTTTTTAACCTGAACCCATCATCAACTCATATGCAAATATATAAGCCACGAAGCAACCTTATAATGTAGATAAGATTGTGTTGCGCCAGTCATTCAAATGAAGATATCCTGTCTTGAAAATCAGTATTCGAAATTTTTACTTTTTTGTTTTCTTTTTTACCTGACCCTCATTATCGACTTCTAACACCGATTGGTTATATAAATGGTTATATAAAACTATGTAAACCACGAAGCTAACATGTAAAGCTCTATAGCTAGGGATTGTGCCGTCGTTAATACAGCAATTATCATGTAGCATTACTGCCTTACGTTTCGTCTTTGGTTTTAATTCTTCAGGCAGTAATGCTACATGATAATTGCAACATGATAATGCAACATGTTATGGTTTATTTCTTGATTCACTTTTTGGTTTAATCATTTAACAATTCTTTCACGTGACACGTTACGTAAATAAAGATTTTTCTTAAGCTGTTCTTGAAAAAAAATGTTTTACAATGATGTTCACCCTGTACGAGGCCCGAGAGCCACTCTAGGTAGATAATTACAGAGTAATAAGCACTGCTTATGCGGATACGTGTGGAAGATAACGGTTAACTCTAGACTTGAACAGGTTAAGATTGTGATCTGGGAAGCAACCTCATGGGAATTGGCTCCACAAAGTAGCGATTCGTAGGGGAAAAAAGGTTGCTTGAGTGGAATTTACATCTCACCAAGGGAATAAGAAGGAAACGAGGGTGGGGTTCGCTACAATGGGCGTGGCATGGCGGGTTTATAGCCGTGAAGGGTTAGGACTGTTGGAACTATGGAGGGTAGTTCATCTGAACACTCACCATGGAAATAGCGTTAGAGCAGTGAGAGGCTTGCGACATTTCGCCTTTGAGAAAAGGGGGTTGTAGAGTGGAAAATAATTCATCACCCACAAGAACGCGGAGACGCTTTTGAACATTATCGAGAGTCGAAAATGAAAACCGGGCAGCTCCTGCCAACATATATCAGCAAGACTTCATTTTCGGCCTCTGATCTGGTTATTGTAAAGGTAGAGGATGGAAGAAGTGGGTGAGGTACTTGTTGGAGATGTACAGGGAACCGACTATTTCTCTAGCGTCTTTACTGATGGACCGTATGTAAGAGTTGCACGTGAGGTCCTTGTTGAGTTTTAAGTCCCAAAAGAGGCACTCAAGACATTGGGTATTCATGAGGGAACATCCAAGCATCTGGATTGGTGAAAGATCTGGATCCGAACATACAAAATTAAAATAGTTTTGTCTAAGTATCTAAAAAATGGTTGCTTAGTCCTCCCTCCACAAATGAAAATGAAATTGGTGACAACAGAAATGTGGTTCTACAGAAGGATACTCTGCCTTTTATTGTGTAGTATTCATTGTCATCCATTTTTAGGGTTAACGCCTGGTAATTCTTTTATTGCCGTCTGAAACATAAAGGAGTGTATGGTGGGAAAATAATTGATAGATTGGTAGATAGATCTGATCACACTGAAATAGATGGATAGATATGAACAGACCGAGATAGATAGATGGATAGATAGATAGATAGATAGATAGATAGATAGATAGATAGATAGATAGAAACAGACCGAGATAGATAGATGGCTAGATAGATAGATCTTATCACACTGAGATAGAAAGGTAGATATGAACAGTCGGATAGATAGATAGATAGATAGATAGATAGATAGATCTGATCACACTGAGATAGATGGGTAGATATGAACAGTCCGAGAGATAGATAGATAGATAGATAGATAGATAGATAGATAGATCTGATCACACTGAGATAGATGGGTAGATATGAACAGTCCGAGAGATAGATAGATAGATAGATAGATAGATAGATAGATAGATAGATAGATAGATCTGATCTGAGATAGATGGGTAGATATGAACAGCCAGATAGATAGATAGATAGATAGATAGATAGATAGATAGATAGATAGATAGATCTGATCTGAGATAGATGGGTAGATATGAACAGTCCGAGAGATAGATAGATAGATAGATAGATAGATAGATAGATAGATAGATAGATAGATAGATAGATAGATAGAAACAGACCGAGATAGATAGATGGCTAGATAGATAGATCTTATCACACTGAGATAGAAAGGTAGATATGAACAGTCGGATAGATAGATAGATAGATAGATAGATAGATAGATAGATAGATAGATAGATAGATAGATAGATCTGATCACACTGAGATAGATGGGTAGATATGAACAGTCCGAGAGATAGATAGATAGATAGATAGATAGATAGATAGATAAATAGATAGATAGATCTGATCACACTGAGATAGATGGGTAGATATGAACAGTCCGATAGATAGATAGATAGATAGATAGATAGATAGATAGATAGATAGATAGATAGATAGATAGATAGATCTGATCTGAGATAGATGGGTAGATATGAACAGTCCGAGAGATAGATAGATAGATAGATAGATAGATAGATAGATAGATAGATAGATCTGATCTGAGATAGATGGGTAGATATGAACAGTCCGATGGGTAGATATGAACAGATAGAAAGGTAGATATGAAAGGTAGATAGAGCAGTGACAGGCTTGTAACGTCTTGTCTGTGAGAAGACCGGGTAGCTCCTGCCGATATATATCAGCAGGACTCCATTTTCGGCCTGATCTGTTTACTGTAAATGTAGAGGGTAGCAGGAGGAATGACAGATGAAGAGGAAACTGAGGACAACAGAAATGTGGTTCTACAGAAGGATACTGAGAATTCCATGGGCGGAGCAAATGAACAATGAGGAGGTCTTAAAACGGTAACAAAAAGAACACTTATCCTCAGAATCAGAAAGAGACAGCTGAAATATCTTGGACACATGACGAGGAAGGAGGGCTTGGAAAACTTAACACACACAGGGCAAGAGAGTTACGGGAAGACAGCGAGTCACATACCTTACGAGATTGTGTGAATGGATGGCAGAACGGGGTGATCTTTGAAAAGGGAAAACACTGCTAAAGGCCACAAGGGATAGGAAGTTTGGAGAGCCATGATCATTCATCCTCCGCACTATTGCTTAGCGCCGTGTTTGCTGGCTCGCTCTTGTCCTGCGACGACCTGATGACCATCCTACCAGTGTCATCTGTCAGTTCCAACCGCCATCTGCGACCTTGCGGCACATCAGGCAGCCGGTGGATGGACGTCGTCCGCCAGGACCTCCAGCAGATTAATTTGACACTCTGCCAAAACCGTGAGAGCTGGTGGGACAAATATGGTTTTCGTTGGCTCAATGCCTTCATGGTATCAGATTTAGCAGCAGCAGCAGTAGCAGCAGTAGCAGCAGTAGCATGATCGCTCATGTCCCGAAAAGATGCGGCACATGGAAGAAGATCTGAAAATGTCCACTAATAGAAAAGCGAAATCTACTTTTCTGTTCAGAATTGAGTGATCCATTCGAATTTCAATATCCCGGAGGATTTTATCACCATAGTCGTCGTCATTATCCTATTATAATTATGCTTATCTCTTCCGTCATTAGTTAGTTCACACGACCGTTACGCCATGCCAATACATCATAAATAATGAAACATTCTGTTCTGATCACGTGCAAAGACAAAAGACATCAGAGATGCTACTTGGTTTCAGTGAAAAAAAGGAAAAAGTAAATGAATGAATGAGTGAAAGAAAGAAAGAAAGAAAGAAAGAAAGAAAGAAAGAAAGAAAGAAAGTGTTATGGGACCTTACCCATAATAACATAATGGACTATTCCATACGTAATAAATACTGCGCCTCAAGAGGAAGCGGGGAGTTCCGTCTGAAGTCTGGAGAGAAGTCCGTCAGGAGTCTGTCAGTCAGTCAGTCAGAGTGAGTCAGTCAGTCGAGTCAGAGGCAGTCCGAACAGAGTCGCGTTCAGACAAATACTACTAAACCTGATTGTTCGTACTAACACTTTTCTACCTCTCTGTATATATTCCTGTTTGTAATATATCTGTGTTATTCCATATCCGTGTTCGAGTTCTTCTTAATTGGTTCTACCTTGGACTATCACCGTGGTACAAGGAACCGGACCATGACAGAAAGAAAGAAAGAAAGAAAGAAAGAAAGAAAGAAGTGTTTAAAGTCTACTGCTAATACCTCACAAATAATGGACTATTCCGTTTTGGTCGCGTGGAAATACAAAAGACATATCAGAGACGCTACTTGTTTCAGTGAGAAAAAGAAAGAAAAAAAGAAGTGTTTAACGTCTCCTGCTAATACCTCATAAATAATAGACTATTCCGTTTTGATTGCGTGAGAAAACATAAGACATACCCAAGACGTTACCTGGTTTCAATGAGAAAATCAAAGAAAAAAAAGGAAGATAGAAATGTGGAACGTCTGTTTCAGTGAAATGGAAAAAAGTTATCAATTTCAAATTTTTTCATTTGTAACCCTTAATTTTTAAAAATAACGACCAGAATTCATATTTATGATTGCTATTGCAATATTTTGTTAAAGTTGATAAACCAAAATATTCAACGATGTAATAGGGGTATTTCTACGGATTATTTAATTCATCTATAATTAATATAATAAAATAATAAAATATAATAATATGATAATTTAATATTTAATTGTCGCAGATCTCGCCATGAGCTTATTCAATCATTAACTGAAGAATTAAGATTCATCAGAATATTCAAATAGGAAAACCTTGAAATATCTACGGGTTAAAACTAGTTATTATTATTATTATTATTATTATTATTATTATTATTATTATTGTGTTTGTTTTGCTTTGTTTGCTACGCGTTGTCTCTAACTCTCAACCAGACACTTCAAGAAAAAAAAGAAAATTTTGGTATCAGATGTAAACAGATAAGGTGTCATGAAATCAGGAAGAAACAAAACAATAATGGTGTTCATTTCACGAAGAGAAATCTATGCAAAATGTGTGAAGTTCCGATGAGTATGATTTTTTTGCCATTTTACATTTTAGGACAATCAGGAATTTGACCCACATATTTAATTTGCTCATTTTGATATCACAATCCTCTAAACCCCAAATGACAACAGGTAATGTCGTTTTCTTGAGATGCCACATTCAACTTGAGATCTTTGTATTTACTGAAATCCTCAGGGGTTTCCAAAAATGTGTTTTTGTCAACTCGGATTGCGACATCTATCAGCAGACATGCATTTTCAACATGATTTTTCACCTTGCATTTATTATTATTATTATTATTATTATTATTATTATTATTATTATTTGATTTCTGATTTCGTTTACATTTTCTTTCCGGGTCCCGCCCAGGACCTAAGGTTAGAAATGGCATCATGACACTTTCCACTGACAAAAAAAAAAAAAAAATTACATAGATAAAGCCTTTCGTAAAGTGTGGGCTGTACATGTCAGAAGAATTTTTTGTATCTCCTTGAGGCATGGACTTCCAGGAATCCCTTTAATTAGTCTACTGCAATGTTTTCCAACCAGTCCTCGGGCTCCAACTACAACAGGGATTGTTGATGTTCCCATATTATTATTATTATTATTGTCCCCGTGCCGTCAAAATTGACGGCAAGAAGGAATATATTATAAGTAATATGTATCATATTGTAAGTAATTTTCGTTTAATCCAAGTACAATTTTTTTATGTAACAACTGAGGGGAAGAGTACAAAATAATGATGACCCACGGGCCCAAATTCAAGTTATATTTGTTTTTGGAAAGAAAAAAGAACTTTAGTTAAATAAAAATTATGATAGAGAAACGTGAGTTACGGGCAACATTAGTCGTGTTGAATATTTGTTTTACGAATTTAAATGTATTTTATTTCTTTTTTTAGGGTTAATTGGGAAGAAATAAAGAAATATAATTTATGTACGTATGTGAGAAACAGTAAATATAGTGTTATATGTTTCTTTTTTTCTTTTCAAAAACAAACTTAATTTTCTGCAGGTGGGTCATATAAAAGAGCCAGTACGTGTGTGCATGCTTTTTAGTTGTAACAGGGGATACCAGAGATAGTTAGAAATTACTTCTTACCATGAACTGTGTCGCTGTCAGTCTCTTTGTAGCTTTTTGCGTGTGGGCATGAATGGGGTTCTTATTTCTGTACGTCTCATGTCAAACTTTTGAACACTGCCCCTCAATTGTTTAAAACACATGTACGCGATATGATGACAGGATTTGATGAAAGCAGCACTTAACTTTTTAGTTAGAAATATGTTCAATTCTGATGACCCAATTTGCTAAGACGGTCTCGAATTGAGGGTATCCCAAGTATCTAGATGTGTCTCCCAAGTCGCCTTGGCTGCACTATCCATCAAACTTCTTTTTTTTTTTTTTTTAAATGAGATCCCGGCACCGGTTTATGAAGCTCCCCTACTGCTCCCGCTCATGAACAAATATACACAGTGCATCTACTCCTAAGGGACATACCCAATTGGTTTGGTTTGGTTTGGTGTGTTTTACGGCATATCAACACCTCAATGGGTTATTTAATGCCGATAAGATTTTTATTGCTGGTAATATTTTTTCTTCAAAAATTTATTGCTGGTAATATTTTTACGAAAACGTATTGCTGGTATTAAAACCTATTTCTGCACTTTCATAGTGTTTTGACCCCAGTTTGGGAGTTAACTATTTACCTATAGCTGGGACCCTAACAGGCGCTACCACCCTAGGTAAAGGCGAACCTGGGTACACCAACAATTCAGAGACGGTTCTACGCTCCTCAAAAAACTCCTTGCTGTTGGACATAGTTGATCGCCTTACCCAGGGCGCGGAATACAAAATTGGTTATCGTCAGGTAATTGACAAACAAAGCTGTCGTATTGGAATATTTCTATTTATTATGCCTCATCCACCATAACAAAATCAATTAGGATCAGAAGCCATGAGAGCCATTTCAGGTGCAGCGTCGAGGCACTTATTGTTATTATTATTATTATTATTATTATTATTATTATTATTATTATTATTCTCGTGCATTTACATATTCACAGAAGACGTGGCTAACGCTGGAGATCAAGTGATATCAAGTCACTTCAAGTATGCAGCACTTTCCCCAGTATCATGATGCTGAGTAACATTTTCAATTCTTCCTCAACTATCTAATTTTTGGGGGAACTGCTTTATTTATTTTCTAACCATTTTGGAACATGAATTCAGCAGTTAAAAAAATGTCGGTTAGAGTTCATCACCGAAAATAAAGATTACCAACAAAAATAAAAGAGAAGAGATTATATAATTTTTTTTTAAGTGCCCGAAATGCATTTCTATTTGAACGTCCATTTTCGTAATAGGCTTCGATAACTTTAACACGTGGATTGATTAATCTTTCCATGATTGAAATTGCCAAAGACTTAAGTTGTTAAATCTGAAAGAAAAAGCAAAAAAATCATTAGACACGCTTAAAGTTAATTCTCAATCGGTCCAAGTTATTGGAACACCCTTTATATACATACACACACATACACACACACATATATATATATATGTAATGGTGTATTTGGGCAGCAGTCCTTCTTTTATACAAGTTTCATTAAAGGCGACTGATTAAGCATTTTATTCAATTCTTATTATGTTCGTATAAATGTTTTATTTTCTGTACACGAAGTGTGTAAAAAGTGTCTGAATGTTTTATTTATCCGTTCTCTATGTATGTGTGTGTGTGTGTGTGTGTTGTGTGTAGATAGATGGTGGATGGAGACTCGTTGATTTTAACGTATCAGAATCCAACATTTCAGTTCTTATGTTTTCTTTCTCGTCAATCCAGCTTGTTGTTCCCCAGCCAGGCTACAGTCAGTACAATTGACACAATTGTGGGATAGCCCATTGTTGGATAAGGTCTGGATTTTGGGTTCAATCCTAACTGTATCAGAAGACGAAAGCAACACTCTTCAAAGCTATCAATATTTTTATAAAAACTTGTTCTCCATTCAATCCGGTCCATGGCAGCATTATTTTTTTGAAATGGGAAAGGGATACAAACAGCTTTCAGATTTCATTTAAGCTTTACTTTAAAGCGATACAAAGGGCGCATGGATTTATACAAAAGTGCAAGGACGTTACAAGGGTCACGTGCCCCACCCCCACCCACCGAATCTATGATACGCCGTCCCACTTTATTACATATCAATTTTCATAAGGTAGTATTCATATAAATTACAAATTTTATTATAACCTAACTATGTACAATGATGGATCATATGCAATATAGGTGAACAATTCAACTAGAAAAATTAAAAATGAATTATGCAATGTATCTAAATACAAATTAGAGACATGTCGTAATAGATCATCCCATCTTAAATAAATCAACAATGTTTTACGGCAATTTTTAACATCAACTTGAGATTTTTCTTGTTAAAAAGTTGAACAATTTTAACACATTCAAGATAAAAAAAATAGTAAATTTTATATAGTGTTTTTTTTTACGAGTATTAACACGAGCAAAAACAAATTGATGGATTTGGATAAAGAGAAAATGACGTCAAAAGCATTTAAAATTTGTCATCCTTTAGTAGTCAGTTGTGCTTAGTTTAATTTGTAACATGTAGATTATATTTTCGGAGTAGGTAATGGCTGCTCCAGTTACTTAAGACGTTGCATACTGAGAAAGAAAATATTCGGAAAATGAAAAACTGGACCTGGTCTGAACAGTAACATCGGCAAAACCAAACACCAGTTGATATATTTAGAGACAGAATGCAAACATTATGGAGACGGATTTGTTGTCAACAGTAAATGGAGGAATAATGTAGATTGATGTTGGAAAGTCTCAGACCGTGTGTCTCTACTACCGCTCACTATTCAAGAAAAAAAAACATGCGAATATCAACAAACATAATGGATCCAGAATGCCCAACTAACAAAGCCATGGAGTTTTACTTTGAAAAGACCAACTTCAAAAAGTTTAGAGGTCATCCAAGAACCACCATAGTCACAACGCTGAACCGAGACATTCAAAGAACAAGGTAGGAAGATCCCACTTTTCCTTTGAAGAAGTTTACAATTAAGGAAGATCTGTAACGAATCCACAAACTAGCAGAGGACAGAGAAGGCTGGCAAAATATTGTCGACTCAGTAGACAATGTCACTGAAGATGAGATGTTAATTCATGACCTCAAATCGAATGATGATGATGATGATGATGATGATGATGATGATGATGATATAAATGTAAGTAGAAAAAAGCAAATGTTGGTAAGATAGGGAGGACCAAAAAGTACTTCCCGGGGTCTCCAATCAGGCTTGAGAGCCCACTCCCGTTTGGGCGTTTCCGGGGTAATACGCACAGGCCCTACAAGAATGGTAATTACTCAGTGGTCACCTCTGTGAAGGGAGCAAGCTAGGAACTTCTAGCAATATCTGTCTGTTCCATCGTCCGATACATGATACTTTGATAATGGCTTATGTAAGCCGAAAGTTTAGATAGGATTAAAAAACATGTATCAATATGGTGATTTTCTTTCGTCTTTCAATGATAATGTTATTAAGCTTATCAGACGATATGAAAGACATTTGATTAAAATAAATAGACAAAACTTGTCCATATTATTTAACGAAACATGCATCAATGAAAAAATGCTGCCTAAATACACACACAATATATATATATATATATATATATATATATATATATATATATATATATATATATATATTTCGTATTGTCATTTAAATATGTCTGTTTTTATAGCATTACTTAAATTTTGTACCCGCCAAAAAGATCTTTGAGTAGATGCTAATTAAAACATCCATTTTTAATTGCCATTACCATAAAGGGTTATACAAAAAAGAAAATACATTTTTATCCACCTTTCTTAATATATATATATATATATATATATATATATATATTATAATAATATTTTTTGTTTAAAAATATGATTCCTTCGCTACATAAGAGTTCTCATGTTTCAAAAACGAGAGCCAAAATATCCAAATAATTATTAAAATTAAGTTGGATTATCCAACTTAATTTTAATAATTATTTGGATATTTCAGCCAGTTACTCTCAGCCAGTGCATAGTATGCGAACAGCACCGGACGCCTCTCGTCCGATACGACGTCCTAACATTCCTTCTGCAGCATGTGAGAGTCTACACGGGGGTGTTGCTTATATGACCAACTGTCCAATGATATTGTTCTCACACTTGAAATATCAGATGCAGGTATGAGGTTACGTACTTCTGTATTCGGTGGCTGGGGCGCACTCCAGAGCCCCGACACCTAAATGGTGGGGAAACTGCCTTTTAATATTTAATATCCACGAAATCAGGCTAGTGTCGTTTCATCATCACCGAGCAGACCCCGAATTGTTCTCTCAATGA